GCAAAACAAGAACTCGATCAATTCAACTAATGACATTCTAACATAATTGACAAATTAAAGTAATAAAATTAAATAAAAAGTTGTGCTCACTGATTAGCCTGTTGTGGAACATCCACACGATGTATTGGCCATGGACACCACCAATCTCGGGTGCACTCGTTCGCGTAAACACCTTCTTCATAAAAGTCGAGGGTGTGCAGAAGATTTGGAATCGTAATTGACAGGGGGCCGAGTTCTTCCTTTAAGCTCTTATCTGGAATGAGTGAAACCATTGAATCGTAGACTTTGATTTCACACTGAATCAGATCAATCTCTAGAGCCACCCAATGCTTATATTTTGCAACATACAAGGTACATACACCTTATACGTGTTCTGCCAATCCAATCCACAAGCCGGAACCTTGCCATTTACAACGTTCACTAAACTGGTTCTAATTTTCCACCCAACTTGCTCTTTTTTCCTTTTATTATCCGCAAAGCAAGTATGGATGTGATTCTGTGAAATAGAAAACAATCAATGGTTAAACAACTCCACAAAGCAAGTATGGATAATTTGTAATTATTAACTGCACTTGGTCAAGGCCTATGCCATACTGATGTAGCACAGCCCTGGGTGTGTTAGTTTAAACACTTAGAGCAATAAGACATAACAGATAAGAAAAGCTGAAGGGAAGAAAAGGTAGAAGGCAGGCAGAAATCAGAGAGTTTAAAGGAATGTTTAATCAATATTCAAATCTGAATTGTAAAGAACTACATAGGGGTATTTATAGCAAACTAAAACCTAGAGAGAATAGAATTAAAATCCCCAGGTAAAACAGAAATCCTATTCCTAATAAAATAGGAAACTTAGAAATCCTAATAGGATTTGGAAAACTAACTTAGAAATCCTACTAGGATTTGGAAAACTAAAGAATATAGGAAACTAACAAATCAATTAGGAAACTAAACAATTTAGGTCCTATGCATCCTGCATCACATACCATAAAAAATACATCGGTCGTTGTCCAATCCGATATTTCTACTTCCTCCAACTGTTGTTGTCGCTTCCGGATGAGATACAAGCCCAAATCAATGTGCTGCACATGTTTTCCTTGTCAATCTCATAATCTATGCACATTCAAACAAATGCATAATCAATTAAACTTACATCTCCTTTCAGCCAACCGTCAGCTTTGACGAGGGAAGCGAAGAATTCAATCTCAGCTTCCACGTTGCCAAATTGCATCACCAAACTATGAATATAAAAAAGTTTTAGAACACAACAATTAAAAAATATATACACTCATGCCTTCTATCTCAAAAAACAAAGGACTTACTTTGGGTTATGGCGCCATTCCGAACAAAGTTTCAGCAATTTCACCATATCATCATGCGGAATCGCCTTCATTGGGTCTAACGTCCGAAGTCCGGTTGTCTTTGGCAAATTTTTTTTAACCACTTCACTAGCTTCAACGATCTTCCACATAGGAATAATCTTCTTCCTCTTCCGTAATTGGACCCCTCGTTCCACACCTTGACCTTCATCATTCAACCAAACGTTCAACTGAGATAACACAGCTGTAGGTTGATCCAAATCAATGTCCCCGAGAGTAACCTCAACCTTTGTCCCCTCCGTGCTCTCGCCAATGTCATCGCCAACCAACATAACTTCATCATCCTCTTCCTCACATTGGTTTCTTTGCACTTCCTTTTCCTCACTTCTCTGTCTTTTCACTTCCTTGCCCTTCCTTTTTTTTTTCGGATCCTCTCCCTCACTGCTTTTTCTTTGCAGTTCTTCCTCTCCCTCAATGCTCTTTCTTTGCGCTTCCTCTCCTTTGCTGCTTTTTATTTTCACTTGCTCTCCCTCACTTCTTTTCCTTTGAGCTTCCTCTACCTCCCTTGGTTTTCTTTGCACTTCACCTCCTTCAATCCCCTTCTCTTCCTTTTCCTCTCCCTCATTTCTCTTACTTGGCACTTCACCCCCTTCAATCCCCTCCTCTTCCTTTTCCTCTCCCTCATTTGTCTTACTTGCCCCTTCACCCCTTTCAATCCCCTCCTCTTCCTTGTCCTCTCCCTCATTTCTGTTATTTGGCCCTTCACCCCCTCCAATGTCCTCCTCTTCATTTTCCTCTCCTTCATTTCTATTACTTGGCCCTTCATCCGATTGCATGCCATCCACTTCCTCATATCCCTTAAATAGATGTGACACGACACAACGATTCGTCCTCTCTTTCAGTAAAGCTATGTCCCTTCTCACTTCCTGCTCAAAATGAGGACCTAAACAGTGGCCCAAAATTGTTTCCATCCATATGACCTTTAACTCAAGGACGTCCTTTTCCCGCTTTACTTGAAACAACTCGGACCTCAACAAGCTTACCACCTTGTTCAACTCATCAAGGTCAGCACATGAAGAAGGAATTGACTCTGCCGAGACAACAGCAGGGCGACCCTGTGGCCAACTCCAATATGGTTGTCTCATTTCCTCTTCACTTGGACATAGCGCCCGCAACTGAACTGACTGTTTCAGAAAACAGACAAGAGTCATATGCAATCATTCTACTTCATAATTTCATTGAATCTTATAAATAGTTCCAAGGGCTGCAAACCAAACCTCTTTGCTCTGGAAAAAATAATTGTTCAACTTTCTCATCTCGGGAACAGACGTAGTAGTTCTCCATCGCAAAATACGCGGGAGAGCTGTCGGATCAACAACCTTGCAGTAATTCAGGTCCACCATTCTAGGAATTAATTTATATACCCAAATCTACACAATTCACAGGACACAAGTTATTATTTAAGTTTTAAAGTCAACAAAACATAACGACATGAACATTATTACCATGTACCTGGAAAGCATACGTGAAACCTTTAAAACTCCAGCCACCCCTTTGCACTTCACCATGGTTATCCTTCTTGCCCTTCTCATTTCTCCGGCTTGTTCCGGTTACCTTACATTTCCCCTTCCCTCTTCCCTCTTCATTTTCAAAGCTTTTCACATACTTTGTTGGTGCAGAAAACAGACTGTCTTGGGTTTTGTCAAACGACACCGAACCCCATGGAAACCTGTTGAACGCATCCAAGTCCTCTACAAGGGTCAGGTAATTTAGATTGATGTTCAAATGTTTGTCCTTTCCCAAAACCACTAACTCAGCAAAGTAAACAAGAGCTAGCTTGTAGACGTCATCTTCCTCTGTGCACCTCACAAATGCTTCTTCTAAAGCATTACATGTAATTCCTTCGTCTATAAAATATCTTTTCTGAAGTCTAATTTCATCACTTTCTCCACTGGAAACTTCAGGCACTTCCCCAAAACGAAGCCCTGAGATCAAACAGAAATCCTGACGAGTGAACTGAGCAACGTCGCACCCTATTAAGAAACTCAGTCCATCCAAGTCTTTCACACCCTGCCCCGCTACTCTACGCAACACAACCCCATGCACAATCTGCCCGCTAAACTGAATCTTATCTATATTCAGAAGATGGCCAAAGCATGATGTCTTGAATTGTTCTAATTGTTCGGCACTCAACTTCGCTCGAATTACAGCTAGGGATGAATTTGCATGTGAGCAGTTGTTCACCCGTGAGGAATATGCCTCTGACTCTGGCCATACCAGCTCAACGTTGGATCCCATTTCCTGAAATACAAGATGAAATAACGTGAACACATATACTACCACGTATTTGCACAATCACATTGGTATTTACACAACTAGTCAACCAGCACATTACAAATTTTACAAAGTACATGCGCATAGGGATTACTGATCACAGGCTTTAACATCATCAAAGCAATATGACATATTTTGTGCAAATACCTGTTAATGCAATGATTCTGTGAATTACAAGCACTAGCATGTGTTTTATTTATGGATCCAAACTCCAATCAATGGTTGATGCATGAGTGAGTGTGAGTGCAATCTAGGCAAGTTCTGCACTTCACACACATGACAATTATTGTCATTTCATACACAACACAAAATAAATAAATAAATAAATGAGAAAGATGGTGGAAGGAAGCAAAGCAAAGCATCTGCTCTGCTATCTGCTCGCTAAGCCATTGCCACATCCTTCTTTCTTTCTAGCTTTTTTTCAGTCAGCCATAATCGTCATAGATCAACCTTTTTTCAAATGCTTTGCACTTTTATTCATGAGTTTATTATTATATGTTCTCATTTTTAACAGGCAAATTTAGTAACAACGGAAATAATATTTATTTCAAAAATTATATATATTCTAGCTCCAGAGAGATAATCTGCACTCTACACTGCTTCAAATGTGGAAGGTTTTGAGGGCCTCCTCCAATTCAACACCATTACCTTATTCATATCATTATTGACATGTTATTGACTTTATATTCATTCGTTTTTTAACATATACCCAAGCAAAAATTAACATGCAAGTGAAGCACAAAAAAGAGATGCCAAATCTAACAACATTCATGGTACAAATTGGGGAAAACAGTTACTCTAACCCTAAACTTAAATTCCATAAATTACTCACCAAATGCTGGTTATTGAACAATCGCAAGGTGTCTGTGTTGGGTCTTTGTGCGGCTTTGCTCCACAAATGGAACCTATCACTTCCAACGAATACGGCTTCTCTCCTTCCCCTTCCACTGCTTCGTCTTTTACTGTTTCAGAATCCACGCCTTTGCTCCTTCCACTCAAAATAAATACTTTTTCACGGTTTAGATAGTGGAGTTGCGTTCAACTGTCGTTAACCTTTGCCTTCAACCGTCGTTGCCTGTTGCCTTCAACCGTCGTTGCCCGTTGCCTTCAACCGTTTCTCAGAGCTTAGCGGTTTCTCTCAGCTATGAGTTTGAGATCAATGGGTTTTTTCTGTTCAAACTTCGAACTTGTCTTTTTTTTTTTTTTTTTTTTTTTGTTGGGCAACTTCATTGCTGGATAATTAAATTCGGGTTTTGGGTTCCTCACCTACCCGATTGCACAACTTTATCCCAATTCTCCCCAGCCCTTGGATTGATCCAATGACTATAAAGTGAACCCCTTATAACTTACCCCTTATAACTTACCCCTCATTATAGTCTGGCCGTACAATAGAAGGAGGGGGAAGATCAACAACATGATAACCCAAATTGGAACTTTGACCCATATGAGCCATATGGCAGCATCAATGTTTTGTTCTCTATAAATATGAGAGATGGAACACTCCCAATCACACAAGAGCATGTCTTTGCAATTATGGATGAGGCTAGAGAGAGGGTGACTAGGCCTAGTCTCTCCATTAATTAAGGAGACATCAGTAAAAGAGTCACACTCCACTTTAATTCTTCGGATATCTTCGTTCCACGTAAGGAGTAAACATCTGAAAACACCCCATAATTCAGCTTCAAGGATTTTATCACACCTCAAATTTGTAACAAAACCCTTGATCCATCCACCCGTAGAGTCCCTTATGATGCCTCCAACACTAATAGATCCCATCTCACCCATACAACTGCCATCCGCATTAATTTTAAAACAGCCAGCACAAGGAGGAGACCAATGTAACTTAAGAATTTGTTTGGAAGTCTTAGAATTCCTGGAGCAGTTAGCCACCAACCACTCCCTAGTAAATTGAATGATTGGAATGTGGGGCCAATAAGGAGGAGTAAAGTTGACATCAAAAACTTTCTTACATCGCCATTTCCAACAAAACCACAGGGAGGCCAAGAACAAAGAGGACCAATGGATACCTTGCATGCAGCTGAAACTAGCCTTAATATTGATGAAAAGTCAGTCCTTAAAATCCATAGAGAAAGAGTGAGCAATTTGATTAGGAATACCAATGGAATTCCACATTCTAGTAGCATGACTACACTTGTGAAAAAGATGGTCTAAGGACTCCATGGAAACGTTGCAACAAGGGTAATTAGGATTGGAAGCTAAGTTCCTTCTTACACGTTGGACATTGGTTAAGAGCTTAGCTTGAAACAGTAGCCAAACAAAGGTTTTTATCTTTGGAGGAACATGCAGCTTCTAAATAGTATCCCAATTCCAAGTATGATTAGTCTCCTCAGTAAACAAAGAGAGATAAGCCATTTTCACTGAAAATTCACCATTGGAGGTAAGTTGCCATATACAAGAGTCCACCTCAATATGATTAAATTAAACCCTGCATGAATACAATGAATTTTCTGCACCTTATCCAAGGGGAGACAACCCAGAAGCCAATTGGTGTTCCAACCTTGCTTTGTGAGGAAGTCACTCATAGTCCACTCAAGCAAATCATCAGAAAGGGAAATAGTGGCGAAGTTCTCAAGAGGCCCACAACCTGCCCAATTATCTTTCCAAAACAAGATATTGTCACCATTACCAACTCTCCATTTAAGCTATTTAGAGACAATTTGAGAACCAAATAGAATACCTCTCCAAGTACTAGGGTAATTAAGGAATTTGAGATTTGGGGTAGCAAGCAAACTTTGATCTTTTAGATACTTACCATTAAGAACTTGAGACCAAAGACCCTGATCCTTTTGGAAAATTTTCCAACTAGTCTTGGCAAGTAAAGCCTGGTTCATACAATGGGTCTTTTTTTTATGCCTAGACCACCACAACTCTTAGGCTGACAAACAGTGTCCCAATTAACAAGGTGAAGTTTAGTTTTATCACCAGTATAACCCCACAAAAAATCCCTGTTAAGCTTATCAAACTGGTGCAAGTAGACATGAGAAGATCAACAGTTTGCATAGCATAAATTGGAATAGCTTAGGTAACAGCATGCAAGTAAGTTAATCTACCTGCCATAGATAATGTGTGACTCTTCCAGGAAGCCAATCTACGCTGCACTTTGTCAACAATCCTAGAGTAAGTATTCTTGGTAATTCTAGATTGGATCAAGGGAACACCAAGATAATTTCCAAGACAATCAGTAAGGGGAGACCCATAAATATTAGCAATAGTAGAAGCAATCCCACAATCAGTATTAGGAGAGCAACAAATTCTGGATTTATCAAAATTAACTTGTTGACCCAAGGCACCACAAAATAAATCCAATTAATGCTTCATAAGCTTAGCTTGGAGGATAGAGGCTTCCCCAAATAAAATAAGGTCATCAACAAAGAAGAGGTGGGATATAGCAGGACCACTTCTGGCAACCTTAATAGACTTCCAAGTTCCAGAGGAAACATGATCATTGATAATATGAGAAAGTTTTTCCATGCACAGAACAAAGATGTAGGGGGAGAGGGGGTCACCTTGTCTGATCCCAGCACTAGGAGAGAATCTTTCAGTAAGCTCACCATTGAGGATGGCTTGGTATCTCACAGACTTAATGCACTGCATGATAAGAACAAGTAATTTACCTATAATCCCAATTTCCCATAGCATATCATAGATGAAATCCCAATGAAGTCTATCATAGGCTTTGAAAAGGTCAATTTTCCAAGTAATGAAACCCTTATTTCCTTTTGAGTTTCTAAATTTATGAAGAACCTTTTGAGCAACAATAATGTTGTCAACAATCTGCATGCCAGGGATGAAGCTAGCTTGAGCAGGACTGACAACCTTCTGCATGAGAGGCCTGAGCTTCTGAACAATGATCTTAATCACCACCTTGTACTTTGTATTACATAGGCTAATACGCCTTAACTGAGCAACAGAGCTAGGACTAGCCACTTTAGGAACAAGGGTAATCGATGTGTCATTTAAAGCATCAGGAATGCTAGTAGTGCTAAAACAACCAGCAATTAACTCAACAAAGGTACCTTGATAAATATCCTAGAAATCATGGTAGAATTTAGCAGGGAAACCGTCTGGGCCTAGGGCTTTAAAACTACCAATACTGAACAAACAATCCTTTATGACTTGAGGATTAATATCACAATTGAGATTACCCAACTCAGAAGTCTCTAATCTGGGAAAAAGCTGAGGGAGATCAGCATTAGAGTACCTCATTGTTTGAACTGCAAAAAGAGTCCTGAAATAATCAACAATGATATTTTCCATTTCTTTTTTTTTATCATTAGTTCACATACCTTGAGCATTTGTAAGGCCTTCCAGTTTGTTCCTTCTTCTATGAATAATGGTAGACATGTGGAAAAACTTGGTATTACGGTTCCCTTCTTTAAGCCAAGTATTCCTTGATTTCTGCAGCCAAAAAAGTTATTCTTGGTCAAGTAAAGCTTGGTAATCACTGGCAAGCTCTTTTTCTAAGTTAACCAGAAAAGAAGAGTGTCTTCTGCATAGAGCTTTTTGGATACCGCCAATTATAGCCAACAATTTTTTCTTATTTTGAAACAAACACCCAAACACATCCTTATTCCAAACAGCAAGAGCTTTAGAAAGGTCTTGAGTTTTTGGAAGGATATTTCCAGTATAGTTAGCCCATTTATCAACCACAAAGCTCTGAAAAGTAGGGTGCAGGAGCCACATGGCTTGAAATCTGAAAGGCTTGACATTAGCACAAGGGAGATGAGATGACTGAAGGCTTATCAGCAGGGGACAATGATCAGACTTGACCCTAGGTAGATGTCTGACAAAGGCCTTAGGAAAATTATGTCTCCAGTCAATGTTGGAAAGACCACGATCCAATTTTTCCCAAGTGAGAACGTCATTTTCATTTTTTCTACACCAAGTAAATTGAGCACCAATAAAGCCAAGATCAATCAATTGGTTTCTATCAATCCATTCCACAAGCCCACTCCGATGAGAAATAGGATTACCACCACATTTTTCAGAATTATCGACCAATTCATTGAAATCCCCAGCAATCATCCAAGGAAGGTTCGAAGCTGAAGCAATCCCATCCAAATAAATCCATAATTGGCTTTGAATGCCAGGGCAAGGGTGCACATACACCACAGTAAAAAGCCAATCAATGTGACTCATTTTAATTAGAGCTGTAATAGATTGCCTAGAGTGGGCAACTATATCAATGCAAGATACATTCTCATTCCAAAGCATCCAAAGACCCCCTGAAAAACCATTAGCATCAACTACATGATACTTAGAAAACCCAAGTTTCTTAATAACATTGAGGGCAGTGTTGCCACTAATTCTAGGCTCCAAAATGACAAGAATCTCAATCTTGTGAATTTTAACTAGTTCTTTCATAATTCCAGGGAATTTTTTACTCCCTGCACCTCTTACATGCAAACCATAATCATGATGATGGAAAAAAAGGTAATAAAAAAGCTTGAGATAACAACCTCACTGACTGGAAGAGTTCAATACTTCTACCAAAGTAGAAGCAGCACCAACAGCTCCATTTTTAACATCTACCATTGCTTTTTTAGTCTAGCAGCATCCAAATTAATGGTAATATGAGGGACAAAGTTATCTCCATGGTCATCATCCATCTCATCTCCTAGAATATCCTCCATTTTATCTTCAACAAGGCCTGGATCAGGAGGCTCAACCCCAAGTAAAATAGGAGGAATAAACTTACCGAAGTTAGGAAAGAGCTTCGATTTCAAACTTGCCACAATGTCTCCCAATGTGGCTTCTTGAAAATCAATACTCCTGACTACACAAGTAGTTTTCAACTTGGGCAAATACAACTCAACATTTTAGTTTCCTTCAATATTTCAACTTAAATAATTTTCTTTTCTTTCCACATCCAGAACTTGAGCTTAGAATTCATCATCTACAAGGAACTTCTTCCTTTGCATAGGTCCGCATTTGAGCGTTTAGAAACAGCAACATTTCTTAATAAATGGATGTGTTATCACGCCAAATATTCCTTTTTGCATTGCCATCTCTTTTCGTGTTCCTTATGCAAACCTTCCCTCTTTGGTCTAGGTGGTGGTTTTTTTTTTTTTTTTTTTTTTTTTTTTTTTTTTGTTGTTGGCAAAGGGAGAGTTATCTCACACACATTGTCAAAGTGTCATGGGGTTGAACATGAAACCAATGATTTGCAAGTTAATGCCCTTTTTAACTATGCTAGACCCAATTTGCTTGCATTTAGAGTTTAATCATGCAAATCTTTCTCGTTTTATGGGCAGTTTGGTTCAAAATTTAGGACTTTGGGAATGGGTAGGAAATTGCATTCTCATGTTTGGTAAATGCATCCTTGGGAATGTAATAGCTAACTCATGGGGAATTTCATACCATTGGCTTACCTTAGGAAACCCCCCCCCCCCCCCCCCCCCCCCCCCACCCAAAACATGGGAAAGCATTTAATTCAGTTTTTTTTGGGACTAACTTGCCCCTATTACAAATTTTAAATACCACTTTTGACCCTTACAAAACTCTTCATATTAATAACTTGTAATAATATAAAATTAGTCGACAATCCCTCTTAATGGGTAATCTGAAAAATAAAATAAAAAAGGGTTAAGACCCCCTCTGCAAGTCCTTAAAGAGGCCTTGATATGCCCTGACCTTAGGATGGGATAGCCTCCCCTCCCCCTAAACTTTATTCCACCAAAAAAAAATTAATACAAAATCAATGTTATTATTGAAAAACTAAACAACTTTTCATTTTTAATACTGCACAAACCAAACATGGGAATGAGAGAAAATGACATTTCATAGTCCTCATTTCCCAATATTCCCAAACATAGGAATGAACATCCTTCATTCCCATCTCGTGGGATTAGACATGTAAATTTTGTTCCCATAGAAGTTCAATCTGTGAACCAAACGAGACCAAAAATGAGAATAAACATCATTCATTCTCATCTTATGGAATTAGACATGGGAATTTCATTTACAGATTATTGGTATTTTTTCTTATTTATAATTTGTCATATTTTTCTATTAGTTTTAAATTTTTCTGTTTTGTTTTAGTTACCTTTCTGGTTTACAGTGCTGGTGTTATTTCTTATTTATATTGTTTATATTTTTTTGTTTTTCTTTCATTTTTAATATTTTCTGTATCTTTAACTAATTGCGTGGTTCTAGTTCTTCTGGAATATTGTACTTAGATACTTTATTTGTGAAAAAAAAAAAAAAAAAAAAAAAAAAAAAAGTCGTCGTTTGAACTTTGACTAATTAACACATGGCCAATTGATCCACCAATCTCCCCTAACTCGAATGCTTTTTTAAAATCTGGATTTATTTTTGGGATTTTTTAAGGAATGTCACCTGAATTTATACATGAGTTTCAATTTGTTATCTTAAAGAAAAATTTAAGAGAAATGTCATCTTATTTTCAAAATCCATGATTTGTCATCTGACTTTAATACCATCCATTTTAAAGAGTATTTTAGTCTTCCCATTTTCGAGAAAAGAAATAAAGAAAAAATAGACCTTTCTCTCCCCTTCTCCCCCACCCTAACCCCACCCGCCCCCAAAAACATATCGCACTGGATCCCCTTATTCTCTCTCTCTCTCTCTCTCTCTCTCTCTCTCTCTCTCTCTCTCTCAGCATGGAAATGGGAATATACCAAAAGAAAAAAGAAGAAGAAAAAGGTGGACACTGTTTGGGTGGGCTGAGAGACTCTATGTATAGGGTATGTGTTTCATGGTAGATTGATGAGGAAGAGGTTGTGAGGAGAGAAAGGAGAATGGATTTCAATGTGGGCGGGGTTGGTTAGAGCAACTAATTTAATTATTTAAAAGATTTAAAAAAAATTGTTCATGAAATTTTCATTTTTAAAATATCCTAAAAATTGGAAAGACTAAAATACCCTTAAAATGAATGGAAAATTGGATTGTGTTAAAGTGAGATGACAAATCATGTATTTTCAAAAATTAAGGTGACATTTCTCTTAATTTTTTCTTTAATGTGACAAATTGAAACTAATGTATAAGTTCAGGCGACATTTCTACAAAAATCCCTTTATTTTTTTACCTAAACTTGAATATAAGTGGAGATTTTTTGCAAATATTTATTGGCTGCTAATGGTAAATTAGGTATGGACTGGTTTGCCTCCCTCTCCTTTGGATTTTATCTTGAAAGCTAAAAGACATACTTCACATAATTGGACTTTGGTTTCTTTTTTTTATATCTTTGTTTTCCCCTATTTCCAAGTCGATCTGCAAGGGGTTCAAATTAAGGTGCAAGGGGACGGGCACAAGTCTTGGCCACATATAATTAGTGTGGGTTGAGAGCAAGGTCTAAAATATCGATGGTTTCGAAAATATTGGTAGTCCAAAAACATAGAAATTTTGATGAAAATATCAGGATATAATCGATATCAATAAAAATTGAATAAAAACCACGGAAATTGTAAGAAAAACTTGAGAAAATTTCTTGAAACTTTGGAGGATGTTTGTTTAGTCAATTATCTATTACTTTATCACAAAAAATTGGAAGGAAATGCATTACATGATGAGTTTAACTGATTTAAGTTGATTATACAGTGAGCTGACAAACACTGTGAATATAGAAAATATGTGGTAATTAATGAAAGAAGATGAAACACACCATAATCATTTCTTTATAATGATTTACTACAATATTTTACACTTTATACATTGCATGGTAAGATATATGAATGACTTAGTACCACATAGAGTTCTTATAAGGTTCAAATTTGAATTGTTTACACTAACGCCTCCTGAGGTTTTTGGCTTTTTAACAAAACTCCTTGAGGTTTTAGAAATTACAATAACAATAACACCCCCTAAGGTTTTAAATTGTTTTCACAAAACTCCTTTTCATTGATTTTTCATCCTAAGATTGATGATTTTATACAAAAAGTTCTCCAAATGACAAAATTGGCCTTTGAGATTAGATTGCATATACTTCATTGAGGTTAATTTTGTCATTTGCATAAGTTTTTTTTTTCAATGAAATCATCAATTTTTGGACAAACAATCAACGAAAAGGGGTTTTGTGAAAACAAACTAAAACCTCAAGGGGTGCTCGTGTAATTTTTGAGACCTGAGGGGGGTTTTGTGAAAACACAAGAAACCTTAAGGAGTGTTAGTATAAATAACTCTTCAAAATTTTCATTGTCTTCATCATCTTGATATTATCGATATTATAGCGATAGTTTGGCCAAATGTTGCTGAAGTGTAAGAGAAATTATTAACATCCATATTTTCTGATATTATTAATATTTATACGATATGTGTATGGATACGTTCCAAAATATCCTTGACCCGAAAAAAATGATAATATCCTCAATATTTCGTCGATATTATCGATATTTTAGACAATGGTTAAGAGAAGTGAATTTTGTACTTTTCTGTTGTGTATAAAAGCAGGGACGGCTTTAAGATGTAGGGTTTTAGGTTAGCCATTATGAAGCCTAATCTAATGTACTCACTGAAGATATCTAACAATTACATCGATTTTCAATCGGATAGCATTGCAGCGAGACCAAAAACACAGCTAAGTTATGGTTTACAACTTTGTTCTTTCAGTTATAATGGAAGAGATCAAACCCTTAACCTACCATACTTCTAATCATAGCTCGATCCTCCGTCTCACTTGGCCTAACCAAAGAGCTTGCATCTTTTATATTGGTTTACTAGAGCGCAAAAGAGTAGCTAATGCTGAATCTAGTGTGTGAAATGAGTGGATTTATCAATAGAATGTCCCTCGGCTGAAGTTAACATGAGATTTCAGCAGAAAAGTCACAGCATGCAATTGATTTCTTTTGGGAACTTGGAACTTGGGGGCTTAGGATCGATGTGGTAAAAGCAGTGATGATCAAACTTGGAAGTTAGCTTCAATGCTTATACTTTATGGCATATGGGGCAAAGCCACAGATTAGTTGATACAGCATATGGGACACCTTTAAGAGCAGCAAAGCCTCCAGCTAATGCTATACCAAATGAAAACTGAAGCCTCTGCTGTCCTCGTGTAAGAACGAGTGGTAGCATGCCCTTAATGCTTGCTCAGCATGAGAAAAATCAGATATACAACTGTTGAATCAACCTCGCATTTACATTCAGCCCTTTGCATGTTATCATGTGGGAAATTTTGTGTAACATGAGTTGTATACAACGGTTATATACAATAAATTTCCCACACAAGAATTGAAAGTTCTGGTTACAGCCTTTGTAGCAAAAATGGCTTTTAGACACTGGCGGTATACATCAGCAATTTTATTAATAAATTGAGAACTTACCGACTATGCAACCAAGTTCTAAACTACGCATCACATGTAACAATGAACAAGGATGAACTCGTCTTATCACAGGAGTGGCAAAAAGTATGAGTCGTTATAGCATTAAAATCATGTAAGAAGTTTCGTACAACAAATTTGATATAGGCAGACAAACGGAGCTCCAGAATCCCAAACAAGAAGTCAGAATATGGAGCACCCAACAAAAATCCTATTTAACAGCATGCTTAGTTTTGATGTGCTAATCGATGGCAATAATGAGAAAACCAACAGATACATACAGTAGGAAAACAGGGTAAAGTGCGAGGGCTTTTCTCCTGGGGTTGACTGCTGAGCTCATGAAAGGATATGCAGCCCAAGAACTCCAAGCCAATGTTACGCTGACCACAACCACCTTCAATATCACATTGTCCTTTACCATACAGATTAGAGCTCCAATGTCAAGAGGGAATAAGCAATAACCCAGAAGACTCAGGCTCTGGAAGAATATTATGTGTCCACCCTGAAAACGCAACTTTTCTTTGAGTTTCTTATTCTGCAAGAGAATAATCTATATCCAATTTATCTAGCATGCTATCTTTCCAGAGTGTGAATCAAGATTGCATATTCGTACACGATTCTCCCTAATCAACCATCATGATTTACAATCTGACAGCATAACATGCTGCACATTAAGTGAGAAAATAACTATAATTTGTACGCAGATAACACATACAAGTATGAAGATATGTAACATGCTATACTTTCTTGCACCGCATGAAAGAAAAAATAACTATTATAGATGGAGCACTGCTACATTCACCAAATTGTTCACCAAAGTGTGTCAGTTTCTCATTTACTCAAATCTGGGCTCACTCTACCTCATCCATTTCTAACAGGGTACTAATACATATAGAGAAACCATAACAAAGTTGGTGACAGCAGCATTATTGATATTAGACAGAGTACACATACAAAGTAAGAAGGGATCTTAGTTTAAGGGATCTCCAATTCAGATGCAAACTTGACATCCAAAAACCAACATAAACAAATCAACATTAAGTAGAGCCACAGAGAGAGAGAGAGAGAGATTTACCAGTAGGAGCACATTCAAGGTCAAAATTACAGCACCAGCAGCAAGCACAGCAAAAGCAACAGCAAAAACCTCAGACTGTTCAATAAACAATCCCATTCGTCATTCCATTACGCAAAACCCATAGTGATTAAATCAAATGAGAAAAACCCAGAAACCAAAAACTTGAAAAAGTTAAAGAAGAAGTCACCTTTTTAACAGATGCAGACCAGGAAAGAGTGAGACCCAAGAACACAATGAAGAAGAAAGGTCCCCAGAGATCCCAATCCCTCAGAGCCTTTCCCGGGTCCTCACGATACGGGTTGGGGAACACCACAAGCTTCAAATTGCTCACAATTCTCGACAAGTCGCGCTTCACGGTGTCCCAAACGGGCTCCGTCAGAGTGTTGGGCGGGGACCCGAACCCGGAAGGCACGATACCCGGGCCGTTGTTGGCGGAGGGAATGGGCGGTGGGGCCGGGACAGATGGCTGCTTCTGTTTGGAGGAGGCAGAGGGAGCTGGCGGCGGGAGGTTTGATTGGATGAACGGCGAGGATGAGACGGGGATCGAGGCTCGGGTCGGACTTGGGGGTTTGGCGGGAAGCACGGTGGTGGGACCCGATTGGACGCTGGCGTTGATTAGGTTTTCGATCTCGTCGATGTCCGATTGGGAGGAAGGGTGGAGCGGAACGGTGTCGCGTTCGGAGTGCGACATTTTTTTGAGTGTTTGGGTCGTCGGGAGTTTGGGATCTACGAGAGGGGAGGAGGGTGAGATCTAGTGATGCAGGTGGAGTGGGGAGAAGAGGAGGGCTGTTTGGGAAATGGGAACTTTTGAGTAAACGTCGTCGTTAAGGGATTGATTTGATGGTGCAACTATAAATCAACTAAACGTGAGTGGGGGGATTGGACCAAAAAAAAATAACTGAGGGGGAGATAATGACCCCTTATTTAAAACATACTCATGCAACATAGGGCTATTTCCTATTAATAACGCAATGATATGTGAGATAATTTTTTCAAATATCATTGTATTATTAGCTAGAAATAGCAAAACAATGTTATTCCCGTTACAAGTAAGTTTTTATGCCTTTATTGGGCATTGAGTTGATGTTTCCACGTCATCTAGAAATTCCACATGGACAAGGAGAAATTCTTGAGTTTGGTTCAGTGCACCACGCTCAAAAGGGAGCATGAGTACATGCATTTAGGTCCCATCTAATCTCACCACTTTGTGAGCTTGATGCATAATATGGCAGTGGTACATGCTGCGCTAGAGAACTTCTTGTGTATAATATAAGGTTGTGCTTGGCCCAGATCGAACCGTCTCACCGATGAGCCATCTCTTGGGGATCAGTGTTGAATCATCCAAAGCTTATATAATGGAGAGAGAGAGAGAGAGAGAGAGAGAGAGAGAGAGAGAGATCAAACCAGATTTGGAGATAGAATGGAGATGAGGTAAGATCCAACCAGATCTGGAGATGGATAAGATGACCGACAAGGAAAAGGTGAGTGGAGACGAGAGAGAGGAGTTGAGCAACGGCGACAAAGAAGAGAAGAGGAGAAGAAGAAGATTATAGGTGGGTTAAGAGGGTGAAAATGTGGTGTGAGGTGGACTATGGTAAGTTTTAAGCTAAACTAATAGGCTAAGACCCAGTTTGGTAAATTTTAATATAAAATTATTGTAACTGTGAATAATGACTAAAATAGACATGATGTTGAAGTGTTATGTGCTAATCATGAGGTGTAGTGGTGGTGGTGGAGTGGAGATGGTGGTGAAAGAGATGGAGGTGAAGGTGGTGGTGGTGGTGGTGGTGGTGGTGTTGGTTGTAGAGGTGGTGGTTGTGGTGATGGTAGTGGTGGTTGATTAGTGCATAATTACATATAATTTTGTACTCTTCTAGCTTATGATTTTGTTATGTTTTTTAGTTAAACTTGTTATTTTAATCTCTTTTGTGTTTGTTTTAATGTTTTAAGCTTAATGACTCATTTAATGCATTTTGGTGTTAAGTTAGCTCAAAATTGTGTCTGTAGATCAGTCAACTTCGTGAATTGGACTGTACGTGCTCAGGAAGAACCAGCTAATGAGCCATATTCCATTGGAAAGATGTGGAAGTCTAATTTATGGAGCATTTTACGGTTCATGATTCCGAGTCTTCTAGAGGAAGTTATGCAAGTTTTGGCAGCTTAATGTGAAATTCAGCAGCATATGCATTATTGTGCCAAAAATGATATTTGAAGGCATTTCCGATTTTTCCTTGAGCTGACTACATATGGTTGGAAATATAAGACAAAGAGCTTCAAGACTCATATTTTTCCAGAATTTTATCAATGAAGGAACAAGCCCAAAACGAGCCTACAAGCAGACTACAATGCATTGTCATGCATGAACTAATTGTTTTTGCTCGAGAAGTTGGTGAAGTGGGTGTTGTAGGCAGAAGCAATACTCAATTCAGATTTTTACTTCCCTTAGGCCTATAAATAGTGAGGTTCCCCAAGCTTTCAAACACACCCCAAGGGGGGAAGCTCTCAAACATTTCTCTAGAGCTCCTCTCCCTTCTCTTTCTCAAATTCTCTTAGTTCTCGGGGGGGGGGGGGGGGGGGGGGGGGGGGGGGGGGAGCTCACAACATTTCTCTAGAGCTCTCTATCCCTTATCTTTCTAAAATTCTCTTAGTTCTCAAACACACCCCAAGGGAGGGAGCTTTCAAACACCTCTCTAGAGCTCATCTTCTTTCTCTTTCTCAAATTCTCAAATTCTCTAAATTCTCAAACACACCCCAAGGGGAGGAGCTCTCAAACATCTCTCTAGAGCTCCTCTCCCTTCTCTCCCTCAAATTCTTTTAGTTTTTGTTTTAAGTTCTCAATTGTTGTAATAAAACTCTTTGGCTAAATTTTCCTTTATATTTTTCTTAGTTGTACTTTCTTTTTCATTATCATGTAATTTCTTATTTTAAGTTTTCAAGTTTGACTAGTTTCCAAGTTTCAATTACGGTTCTTGTTCTTATTCATTATGCTTATAAGTTAATATGCTTGTTTGAATGATTAGTCACCTTTAAAACTTGTATGTTAACTATTTTGGTTGGAATTAAGAGTAGACACCATATGTTTTAATTCGAATTGAACTATGAATCAGAAGAGTATGTATGGACATTCAACAACAGGGATTACATACATGCTTGGTTGTTTAAAACATTCTTATATGCTTAATGGATTTCTAATGCTTAATTTAAGTTCAACAACAAGGATCTAATTAGGAATACAAGATTAGAACCAGACATTATGGCTTAATCATACTTTAGCTAGAATCAATCTAAGAATTTGAATTTGTTAAAAAGCACTTAAAAGTTTACATTAAGAATAAAAGCTGTTTATGGAGCCACGTACAGCTCTGTCTAGTACTCTACCTACAGCCCCTTTGGGACTCTGCCTATAGGAGTTTTCCCCATTTCCGTCACTCTGTTTCAACAACAGTAAGTCTCCTTTCTGACATGAAAGACTAGTCTTTAAGAATGCAAACTACAAAATGGAGTCTCTGCAAGTTCAGCACCGGGGAATCAATTGAATCAAATAAAACGTCCACTGGACATGACAAAGCAAATAAGCACCTTGGGCATTAATTTCATTAATACAAAAAATCATAATTTATATGTGCCAGCGGCTGAAATTTCCGCGGCTTAGGCATTGTGAAAATTCCAAAACTGGGTCCATCTCCCAAACAATGCTTGTAAAACATTTTTATCGATACACCAAATCCGTAGTTATCCACTATAATTTGGCTAGCAGATGATACTCGTTGACTTCATGGGAAAGAATTTAACAAGCTCAAAGGTATTCCAATTTGCATGGAAAGATATCAAGGCTTGAGCGCGAGAGCAAGACCTATCTTTGGGGATGCATTAAGTGCCTTCGAGTCATACTCAGCTGAGACAGTTACTAGTGACTTCGGTCTCCATTCACGTTGCCATAGCACACCAGCTTTCCCATTATCAGAGAATCGTGTTTTTACCACAGTTAATGGATCGATTACATGAGAGCTTCCAAGGGTAAAGCTGTTCTCGAAGGTGGAAAATCTATGGGTCAGTTCAGCTGCAACTGCAGTTCCATTGCAGGAGTCAACAGCATGAATGTAAGATGCCTTCAATGTCTGTCCTTTGTCCGTCCTGCATCAACAAACATGAGTTCCAATTACAATGCCAAAGCATTAAGCAATTAACACAGTAACATAAACCCACAGGAACACTACAAATGTATTGAAGGCACTGCCAAGAAGTTAGTCCCAACACAGATATCCATGTAGGGGAAAGCATTGATAATTGCCTGAAAATTTGATTAAGAGAACTAAGCAATAGAATCTTCTAAATTACTTTGTAATTGTAGAACATAAAATTTAAGCATCCTAATCCATGCATCCTTTCAAGTCCAACCATGAAAAATGTAGGATTCAGCAAATGAACTAAAAAAAAATTAATCCCTGCAATATTGTTGACATAATTATCACATCCTAGCCATGGACTTCTGATTGAATATCATTTCCCTTTAAATTAGACTATAAACATCACCTTCACCACCAACTAGGAGGTTGGTGGTCTCCCTTATTTTAAGTGGAGGTCAGGTTCAACCAATTATAAGTGGGAGTTTGTGAGGAAAGGGATTTTCAATCATTTGGCCAACAGTAAGTGCAAAGTCGCAATCTATGCCAAAACTTGAAACAAGAGTAGAGAATGAGGGGTCCGACTTGGGAAAAATAATTTGCCATGCCCATATCAGACATCAAAAACCCATGTTCATGATGTGAATTTACTAATATATTACAGATTCGAGAAATAAACACATGAAGATACAAAATCATAAGTAATGTGGGACAGGACTTCCAGGGACGTCATAGAAACATAAATTATTAGAACAGGAAGAAAGACAAGCATAATTACTTTTCCAAATAAGGAATATGATATGAGGTTTCGTAGACTTACAGCAAAAGCGCTGCAGAGAAATCTGGCTTGTTAAAGCTGATCCCAGCATTGTATTTGGTCAACAAAGAGGATGCTGTGTCAAATCCAATTTCACCACCCAAACTAAGATCCTTACTTCCAATTGTTGCCGACAGTTCTAAAAGAGGGGTTGGGTTCAGGCCTATGCTGGAATCAAAGGCTGCATGAGGATGAAGGTACTGCACGTCCAGCTGCAATTGTATGAAGAAAGAGTCAAGAATTTTACCAGCAAGCCTGAATTTGGCATTGATTTTCACATTATACCATTCGGAGCTTCAATTTAAGAATTGCACCTACAAACACGTCCCTCTAAGCTAAACTTATGAGAGAAATTAGTTTATTCATAACCAGGATCGAGAATGAGCTAGATGTGCGAGCTAGGATACATAATCTGTGAAAATATACAACTTCAAAACCAAAGACATCTCTTTAAAGCTAACTGTACAAGAGAAATTAGTTTATTTATAGCCAGCATCAAGAAATGAGCTAAATGTGCGCACTAGGTATACATGATCTGTAATTATACAGGACTTGATAAGCAATTCTTGTTTTGTCTTTTGGGGAGGGGCTGCTGTCACAATTCTGTCTCACATCAGTGGAAATTACTTGAATCTGGGCCCCACCTTAAGAACTGTAATACAGGACCAACCTTCGGTTTTGCAGACAGATTGAAGGCGGGTGCTGTTTCCTCAAATGAAATCAGTTTGTATCATAAACTAGTAATTTAGCAAACTACGATGTTAAAATTGCTGGATCAAAATCCAAGAATCAATTGAGACAATCAAAGCGAGTTTGGGCTACAGGGACCACGATAAGATTAACAACCGTGGAAGTCAAAACAAAATAAACATAATAATGGTAACGGAAACATAATGACTTTCTGAGGACTCAAAATGAATGTGTGCACAGAGAGGAAACCACATATCATACAGCTCCATATTGAATGACCATGATTTTTTTTGGTCTACTTTATTCCTTTTTAAAAAAATTTAAAATTTAAAAAAAAAAAAATATTTCCTGTACACTGAGTTTTCACTGACCTTGCCAGATTTGTGATCTGGTATTCTGAAGCTAAACACTGCTTTCGTGCTCGGCAAGATATCACTCACAGTCACTTTTGTAGACACCTGCAAAGAATTAAAAACGTAAAGTTAAAGATACAGTTGCAATCAGAAAAGAAAGACAATAGAAAACGTGAAAAGTGAAGATTTAGCCAAATATACTCACAATATGTGATAGTATCAATAAATATATGGAAAATGAGAGTTATTTCAAAATAAAATCATTACATTAGAATAAGTATCAACTTTCACATCTACAGTAGTGTTTCCACTCTTGTACAGGGTATTTATGTCACCAACAAAAATTTGATCCCTCTTCAAACCATTAGCTGTAAGTCCCTGCAATATTGAATATTATAAGCCAGATTAGCCACATAACCGAGTGGGAAAAATAAATACTATTTTCTAAAAAGCAAACAAAAACATATAGCATAAATGTATTATAGAATACAGAGAATCCAGCAATACTAAGCATTTCTTAAATGCCCAGATGCCCTTATGCCCTTCTTTTACTACCTGAAGCCACTGATAAGGGTAATGCCAATTTAAGTTATAATAAGTTACTAGAATGAAATAATAGTGGAAAACAACACTATATAAAGTGAATTTTAGAGCTCCTGCTTGCTGGTAAGCAGAAGTGGGTGAAAATAAAATGTGGGTAATAACATATCTAAAGCTTCACACCAATTTAAGACAATATTACAGTAATCGCAGCAAACAGATGCTGGGAACAACCAAAATTTTTTTGACCAAGAACCTACATATTCAGGCATGCATCTGGCACTAATAAAATTTTCAGCTTTACGCATGCACTCAATCTTGTCTTAACATCAGATGTAATTGTATGTACAAAGCACCTTTTCCACTGCTACACAAATCAGCACAAATCTATCATCTTGTGGAGTTTTTTTAGCAAAGGGCATAAACTGATTAACTATTTAGATCATGTCTAATATTCTGATTGATTTGTGAAAATAAATTTTGGGGGATAAGGAAGGGAATTTACTAAACAACCATGATTCTTCTTTTTACGGCGGCTAACAAGTATTGTACTTTATAGCTAAAGTTCAGAAAGTTGGTAGAAAAACAGCAAACTTTAAATGTTTAGCTTTCCAGTAAACAAATCATACTGGAAGAAAGAACCTAAAATGTAGAAAGTGGAATTAGATAATACCAGCCCAGTGGAGCCAACCACTGACAGAGTAAACTTCTGGTCAAAGTTGTAATCTTTGGTCAAGAGATCTGCATAAAAGAAAGGCACGTTAAGAACAACTTGAACTACAAGCATGAAAAAAAGCCAAAAAAAAGCCACCAATTAATCATCAAACATGAAACAACAAAGAATAAATTTTATGAGAACAGCAAGCAGGTAAAGAGAACAACAAGCCATGTGAAAAGAATTTCTCTGCCATTATGTGGCTTCCAATTTTGGCTATTACAACACTATCTTTCAAGCTTTTCTGTCCAAATTATCATTCAAGAATTCAAGCCACCAAATAAAATAAAATAAAATTACAAAATCCATCTAAACTTTCTTGCTAATCTTAACGCATGAAATCTGAAACTTGATACCTTTTGCTCTCTTTCCAATATCTGAAAATGGCGCTGGACTGCTGCCCATAGTTACTAAGAACTGTTTAAAAAAAGTGTCAATACAGATAAATTGAGAATTAGGCAAGAATGGTCCTGCCACTGATGGAAAAATTAAAAATTAGAAAACAGAAAAAGCATAATTTGAGCAGTAATAAATGCAATGTATTACCCAACAGAAAGAATAATGCAATGCACAAGCAAATTACTTGTACAAATATTTATTTGTGTTCCAACTTATCTTTGAGCATGGCGTTTTTAAGGAAAATTTAAGCAGGGCCTTTTGGTCATCACCAAAGAAAGAAAACATCTTTACAATATTAGAGTACTTAACAGAGACTCTAATGGAAACATGTCACATAGTGACTTTTTCAAGACAATGACATATTAACTTTTTGATGCCTCAACATAAAGACATCATTGAATTCCTAGTTGATGACTCATTTTCAGCAAAACCATAGATTCATATCTCACTAAACCGCATTAACACACATAAACGCAAAGAATGTTTGAGTTCAAAGCGAAGAGAATATAATGAAAACTTCTCTTCCAGACTTTAATCTACATAATTTTAACCAAAATTCTGAGATCTCAACACCGAAGTGTTATTTCATATAAACACCAGCAACCTTTGGTTATTCCGGTGCCTTAAAGCTAACTTCAAACTAACCCCCATAGTTCATCTAAGCCTAAACTTCTTATAAATCCAGTAACCCAATAGATTTCAAGACCAAATCTGACTGATGCTACCGAGAAAATCAGCATAAGCTCCATAGATGAAAAGGGTGATTGGGTCCACTTAAACTCACACTATTCCCCAAAAACGTAAAAGTAAATCATCATCTAACACTATTTCAATCAAACAAACGGGAGAGCCCTTCATGGGTCATTTAGTTTTTGCTCACAAACACAGATTACCCAACTCAAATTAATAAGAAAGGATCCAAAATCCGAAACACCCACATTGGTATTCTCTAACAAATCGAAGAGAACCCATATCAAATAAAGAAAGAAACTGTTCGATTTGATTCTTAAGACTTTGACATGAAGCTATACATGATAAACAGAGCTAAAACCAGATTTAGAGAGAAAGAGAACCAATCTTACAGAGAAGAAGATCGCCGACAAAAATCCTGAAGTGACCGCTTCAGGCGAGAGAGAGCGAAAGAGCGCTGAATAGTGAATATCTAGTGTTTATGGGTTTTGCGAGAGTGTGGTGCGCGAGAAGAGAGTGAGGCCCAGGGTCAACGTCTCAAAGAGCCATCGCGGTTTCTGATATAATTACCTGTGGGTAAAAGAATGGTCGAGATTAAAATTTGATTATAGGCTAGCACCGCGTGGCGGAATTTAATTGGTGGGGTGGGTGGGTCAATGGGCTGTGACAAAGGAGTTTTGACTACGGCGTGGACGGGATTTACCAGAAGGACGGGAGTAAACCAGTAAATGACGTTTATGCCCATACACTGGGGGGGCTGCGATTCCATTACTGCTTTATTGCGTCACTTCGTTGGCTTGGGCACTAGGGATGGCAACCAGCCGGTTCTTCCCCGCATCCCGATAATATATTTTTAGGGAATCCCCGTCCCTATTTTCTTTCCTATCGGGCTTTTTCAAACTCGCCCTAAATTCCTAATTTTTTTTAATCAAAAATATATATTTACCTTATATTATAACACTTAAATTTCACTTCAAACTATGATTTAACTTAGTTATATTCAATTAAAATATAAAATTCAACTTAACTAATCAAAATCATCTCAATTTTTGAAAAATCTTCATATTATCCACACCAAGTATATAATTCAATAAAACTATCATGTAACTTTTGCTTATTATATTATACTAGCCTTTCCACACGTGCTTCAGCGTCTGCGAGAGGCCTTTTTTAAAAAAAAAATATTTTAGAATGAAAAAAAATAATGGGTAGTTGTGTTCCATAAAAATATCATTCATTATCTGATTTTTTTTAATATGAAAAAGTGTGAATTTACCATATTATCTTCATTTAATTAATAATTTCAATTCTTAATGTTTGCATGAACCAAAGGCATTTTATGGTATTTTGAATGTTTCATCATTCTCTGTATTTTGCTTTATATATATTATATATAATTATTAATTAAAAATAAATATATCACTTACCGCCCCAGGTTCAGGGATGTGGATAACAATACAATCCTTGGCCCATCCTCAAAGACTTAATAATATTTTCATATGTTATTAGTTGTTATTATAATTTATTTGGTGATAAATATCTACATATTTTTCATATTAGATACAGTCTTATTTCTTGAATTATCATTTTTTGTGTTTTTTCTATCATTTGATATTAGTGTGTGTTTTTTTTTTTGGGAGCAGATGCTCTATAAAATAGAAGCACAAAAGACAGCAAGAAAACTATTTGAAACTCAAATAAGAAAGGCATGAATAGTAGCATAATCTTTATAAAAAAAATTGCGGCCTGAACCAAACACTAGGAAACAAAAGAATGAAAAAAAGAGGAATCTTGGACACCTCTTCAAATTGCTCACAAGGAATATCAACAATCACCACAAAAGAAAATAAGAAAAATTAAAAATATAAAGATATGCAAATCGAAAACTAAAGGAAAGAAGTGAAAAACACAGAGACACTTGCGTTAAGCCAAAAGCAAGCCTTAGCCCCAACACTTAATGAACCCAAAAAATAAATGAAGGCCCACCATATGATATATCAGATACATAAAACAGAAAAGGAGAACCACAAATAACTCTCAACTAGTCTATCTTATCTGTTAAATTTGAAAAAAATGAAGCCCATTCACAAACTGCTCCAACTGCTTCCCTGAATCATGAAAACCAGAATGGCAGCAACCCGCAGATTCACGTTGTGGCTGCCTTGGGAAACATGAGTCACCAAAAGGTTCCCGTGAGGGAGAGACCATTAGACGTGGCCAAGAAATTGAATGACTAATGAGAACTTCAAAACAAAAGTAGAATCAAAGAAAAACTAGAGAAGGTGAAAACCAGAGAAAGAGAAGAAAAACAGAGAGAGAGAGAGAGAGAGAGAGAGAGAGAGAGAGAGAGAGAGAGAGAGAAACAAGGAAAAGAGAAGAAAAAACATGCAAGCAAAGAACAATAATTTTGAATAAAGATATGCCCGTGATTTTTGTATTCCTACTTTATTGTTCTTGTTTTCTCTCTTTAAATATTTCTTTTCCTTTTTTTTATTTGATATTATGGCATGTTTATTAATTCGTACTTGAAATCAAGATAAAGAGCTATTACAAATAGGTATAAAGTTTCACTATGATGGTTGTGTTTGAACGATTGTTAGTGTACGTATAAGTACATATATATATTTGAAATAACCACATCTAAGGAATGGATTTGAAATCCATTTGTTTTTTTTCTTTTTTTCTTGTCTAAATCTTGGTATACAGGAATTCAAGCTAATGTGATTCTTGTTTTTGTAGCAAACTGTCTTATTGCCGAATCCAAATTATTTCCATCCCCCTTCAAAGGTTTTTTAGGTTTTAGACATAAAAAAATTTTCACTTTTAGAAAAAGCCAAAGTTTTTTCAAAAAAGACAAAAAAACTGCTCAACTTTCAAATCAAAGACATGCAAATGTATTAGATTTCTTAGGAAATCTAAAAATAAATAAGAGCATTTTTGTCCATTTTTGCTTCTTTTAAAATTTTTCTCTCCTTTTGCTTTTTCCAAAATGTCCCTTCTTTCAAATCACTTTATCTAAATGGTGCCCTAATCTTTACCAAACGCCATGTTTGTTTTCGGGTCAAACATTTGGTTAATTAGATATGCAAGTCCTAAAATTAGGACTACCATTAGTCACGATAGAAAAGACGTCGAACAAAGTTTAAATACATAAAAATGACCCACAAAATGTTGACTATAACTTAGGTACGCAAGTGGTGACAGTTGATATTTGTAGTCTGAAGTAGTCTATGATGCACTCGCACTCACTCCAAAACATAGTCAAGTGACAACAACCAACAAAATAAAACACTGGGCAAGACCCTAAATAGACAAGCGTAATGAACATTCAAGCCACATCACCCAAATACGATTTTGAACAGATGCAACTCTGAATGATATAAAGAAGCCAACAAAATCCTTCCACACGCACTAAACGTCCTCAACATCAAAATTTTAAATTGACTGCCTGCTCAATTCTGTTCTTCAGATAATTAAAGAAAAGGGGGGCAAGGGCATTTAAAAGGCGTCACCGCACAAAATGTTCCTAAGCATCAGTTATTGGATACTCAAACACAACATCTTTTCCTGAAAGCTTCCTGTAAACTGCAGAAAAGCTCTCCAGCTTGTATTCGGTGTTGTTTCGTTCCTTGGGGTCCAAGAACACCTGCCCAACATTACAATTAAACATAGATAAGTACGGTAGCAATCCAAAAATGAACTGCATAAGGGAAACATCTATATTATAATACAATCTATCCCACTAAATGCACTATCTTCTAAATTTGTGAATCCACGTGTCTGTCTATTGACGTCTTCATATAAGGGAAGCATCTCTTGGGTACAAGGCACTTATTCTTCACATTTTAAAAAATACACCAACCAAATTTCTTTTTCCCTTTCCAAGTGTGCGTATGTATTGGTGACTAAAATATATTTTTCCTTCTTTGGGAGAGCTCCCGCAGCGAAAGGGATTAGTCACTGCTGTCGGCGGTGGACACCCTTGGGTCTAACCAAAAAAAAATATATTTTTCCTTCAAAAGGTCATTGCAATGTACCTTCATTATCTTGGATCCGTCAAGTCGATATCTGGTGCGCTTCCCAACAATCTCAGCAGGCAAAACAACGTCCTCCAACATTGCCTCGTGCACGGCAGTTAGGGTACGAGTGCGGGGTCTTTGAACAGCAGAGCCTTTCTTTGGAGGCCTCACTATCCTCCGTGTGGCAATCAGGATCACATCCTACCAAATGACAAACCAAAAATCCACCATAAACACCAAAGACGAACAAAATTTGCAACATACATCATTTGATAAAATAAGAGAAGAAAAATAAAATAGGTTGATTGAAAGTTAGCTGGGAAGGTGAGAACTAGCAACTAAAAGATGAAATACATTGTCTTTGATAGTAAGGCGCAAAATGTAATGCCAAGAAACAAGTACAGAAGAAAATAACAAAGAAAACCTAGACTCAGTTTATTCTAGATTTCATAAATGATAAAGAACCAAAGAACTTAAATCACTAATCACCTTTCCACTGAATTTCTTCTCTAGCTCCCTCACGAGCCTAACATGGATCTTGCGATAAGCCTTCCTCAGTCTATATGGTATATGAACAACAACAGCCTTCCGGTTCCCAGCCACATCAACTTGACTGGAGCAGAAAGGAGGAATATTAATCATACAATAGGCAACAGTTTACAATACATATGCAATCAGTAAAAAAATCTTACACAGCAGAATTAATATAGAGATCCTTCAATTCACTTTTCAGATCAGTGCCTGCATTGTCCAAATCAAAGATTGCCTGCAGAGACAACAAACAACTCATGATTACATCAAAATGTTATAGCAACAATTCCATGAATACAACACACAATAAACAGCTGCATATCTTACTTGTGCAACCGACTCTTCAAACTCAGTGGGTTCAGCACCCTTGTCTTTCTGGATCCTGTTCCTTGACGTATACATCTTGACAAATCTGACTAAAGAATTAAGGCATGAAACAAAATTACATTGTTTTTCAAGAGACCCGAAAAAATCGATAAAATAATGCAGCTTTACTACTCTTAAAGGAAACAAACGAATCGTTTTTAAAACTCATACAACCGAATCAATTTTCAAATTCACTTCCAAACTCATCAGAATAATAAAAGGTGGAGACCGGGGAACAGAGGAGCTCTGGTTAGCTTATCGTATAAATCTCAGTATAAGCAATAGCAAAAGCCTTAACTTCTCCAAAACCACAATTACAAACAAAAATGCATAGACTAACTCCAAATGGTTCATCACATTTTCCCGGAAAGAAAAGCAAAAGCAATCAGCACAATTTACAGAGCCAACACCAAAACCCCAAACTAAAACTTCTTCTGAATCAAATTTCACAAAAAACCAACCAACATATAGTTTCCAATCATGGTTTCTAACAATATATCACCCCGTACGACTGCAAAAGGTTTCAACTTTAGTATTTCTTTCGGTAAAGAGGAAGAAATAAAATAAAAACTTTCCTGCACTTTCTCTGGAAACAGAGAAGCGGTTTCAAGGTGATCAAATGTATTGAAGAAACGGATTTGGTACTGGGTTTACCTCAAGGGGAATCAGGCGCCAGAGAGAGATCTGCTCAGAGTGGCTGTAAACCCTAAACTTCGTTTCGGCAGAGTTGAGAAACCCTAGCGATTAGAATAAAAAAGATTTCCGAAGGATGGAAAGGAGGACTGGATGGTCTATTTATACAAATGAACGGTTGCGATCAACTGAGTGTATTTATTTACTTTTTGGTCATGGTTCATTTTATAACTTTTATCATGAATGGTCCTTGAAGTTGTTAAAAATCATATTTTCAATCCTTCAACTCTCAAATCAATCAATCTAGTTCTTAAGCTTTCAGTTGAGGCATCAATTTAATCCCTGCCATTACATTTTATAAAAACCTTGAAATTGGTCATGTGACTAATTTCCTGAAGGTAATTTTCATCAAAATACGGACTATAGCCAATGGGTTCTAGTCAAGGTCTTAAATATCGATAGTTTAGAAAATATCGGTGGTTCAAAAACACGGAAATATCAATGGAAATATCGGGAAAATATCGATATCGATAAAAATTGGATAAAAGCCACGGAAATTATGATAAATACATGAATTTTTTTAATAAAACTTTAGAAGAAGTTTATTTAGTCAATCATCTATTATTTTGACACAAAACATTGGAAGGAAATGCATTGCATAGTAGGTTTGTGTATTTAAGTTGATTATATTGCGACCTGACAAACTCTGTGACTTAGAAAATTTGAAGTAATTAATGAAAGAGAATTAAACACCCCTTAGTAATTTATTTATCATTTTTTAGTACAATATTTTACACTTTATAAATAGCATGATAAGATACATGAGTAACCTTATTTCATGTTATTCACTGGACATGGTACATGTTGTTATATCTATTAATTTATCAAAAATTGAAAAATAATTAAAGATGTAAACCAACTTGATTTGTCATGAAAATTAGGCACTTTACCATGCTTAAAAAATAATAGTGAAGATTGAAAATTAACTAAGAACATAAATAAATTTATCCAATGAAGAATTAAATAGGAAATAAAGAAAATGATTATAGAAATTTAAGTAATTAAGCAACAATTTATTTCATGTTATTCATTGGACATGGTACACGTTCTTATATTTATTATTTATCAAAAATTGAAAAATAATTAAAGATGTAAACCAATTTGATTTTTCATGAAAATTAGGCACTTTACCATGCTTAAAAAATAATAGTGAAGATTGAAATTAACTAAGAACATAAATAAATTTATCCAAGGAAGAATTAAATAGCAAATAATGAAAATGATTATAGAGATTTTAGTAATTAAGCAACAATTTGAAGGAGAATTTAGTAATGTAAGTACTTATAATGAATAATAAAATAATCAATAACATAAAATGGATTAAATAGAAAAGAAATAAATTATATTAAGTAATTAAATCACATTTCCCACTTAAGTACTTTCACGTTTCTCTGCCTACCTCTCCCACTTCCCAAGGTTTTTTTTTCCTTTTTTTTGTCTGAACTTCCCAAGGTTGTAGATACACGCAACCTGCCTTCTCTCTCTCTTTTGGGCATTCACCCATCTCCCCCTTTTTATTTTATTTATTTATTCCTCTTCTTCTTCTTCCGTTTCACACACACACACACACACACTCTCTCTCTCTCTCTCTCTCTCTCTTCCTTTCTTCTTCTATCTCTCCGTCTCTCTCCCTCTCTCTCTTCTTCATTTTCCCTCTTCTCTCTCCTCCATCACAATCCAAAACAGTAAAACATAAAGACCCACTCCATACCTTTTTTCCCTTTTCTTCCCTTCTCTCTCTCGCTACTCTATCTGTTTTTTTTTCTTCTTCTTTTTTCTTCTATCTCTCTGTCTATTTCCCTGCTTCCTCTTCCCTCTTCTCTCTCGCTTCATCACAATCTAAAACAGCAAAACATAAAAACCCACTCCATAATTTTTTTTTCCTCTTCTTCCCTTATCTCTCACTCTCTCTTTCTTTTTTTTTTTTTTTTTTTTTTTTAGTTAAGATTGAGTTGAGAGACAGAGAAATGCTGAGTTTCGAAGGTTGAGGGATTCATTTGAAGGTTGAGTTTAATTTTGTAAGTTCATATTGCGAAACATTGTCCATTTAAAGCTACAACTTGAATGAAAATATCATTATTGAAATATCGGCGAAATTATCGAGGAAATTATCGATAAATTGACGATATATATATATATATATGAAAATGTGCTAAAATATCACTGCCCCAAAAAAACGATAATTTCGTCAAAATTATCGATATTTTGTTCTATGATTCTAGTATAGTAGAACATGACCTTGATTTGCAAACTAATGATCTCACTCGTACAATGGCCCAAAACACCACAACTTTCGTATCAAATATCTATCCAAATCCAACACCAAAAAAAATCTCAAATAATTTTCAATGATCTACAAGTAGGCTTGATTATGAAGATAAGTAAAGTCATTCTAAGTACAGACAAAACCAAACAAATTCACATTCCTGACTATGCCTTTGTAATTTTTGTCATACGATTTTTTCTTTACAAATTTATAAATAAACCCAATCCTAGACATGTATTTATAAAAAAACCCAAGCACTATTTAAAGATAGAAACACACCCAAAATCAACCCCAAAGTCAACTTTTTGGGTGTGTTTATAAATGGGTTTTGAATGTGTGTAATGATGGGTTTTGGGTGTGTTTATATGTTTAAATAGTGCTTGGGTTTTTTTTATAATTTCAACCCCCATTTTGGGTGTTTTAGTGAAACTCCCTTTTTTCTTTATGTCAATTATAACAAAGGTTTTTAATTAGAAGATACTTTATTTTGAACGTGTCAAGATTAAATAAATAAAAATATTTATTCGTCGTGAATATTAGTGAAAGAATGATGCTATTTGTACCACATTTATTGACCACATTACTAATCACTTCTCTAATAAAGGTGGGTCCCACATACATTAGTTGGGCCCAATTCTATAAGAGATGTGGTCAATAAATATGGTACAAGTATTATTGTTAATGAATTGTGTTTGGGAGTAATTTGTTTTTCTTTACTGTGATAGTTAGCATACACCTTGAGTTAAAGTAATAACTAAAAATGCTATCTGTAATAAATTCAGTATAAACAACTTTCAAATCTTGATTCCACCACTGAGTGCTCTACATCTAAAGGTTGGTGAATGACTACACATCCATTTATATTCTAATTTTTAATTACACAAAAATTATAAAAATAAATTACATCCACTATTTGGATTCGGTGATCCAATATGTTTGTGTTAGAGTATTGCATCTAAATTGATCCAATTTTACTAATTTTGTATGGATGCGTATTTGGATGGCTATGATTTGCACTTATCAGAATATATAACGTCATTTTTATTATAGTGGAATTAGATACTCAGGCTGTATTTGTCAGTTGGAAAAAGAAGAGGAGGGACCTTGTATCAGATGGCAACCTCATTCATGAAGTTAAGGGATGTTTCACTTTGTTTCAGAAGATTTCTATCTCTTATATTCCTAGATGCTGTAATTTTGTAGCTTACAGGTTTGCTGCAATGCTGCTCATGCTATTCAATGCCAGGATGTTGTAATATGTGATGAAGACGTTCCTCCCTGGTTGGAATATATATTCTGTAGTGAATGATATGGTCGTACCCTTTAATTTCACTCAATGAAAATATTATCCTATTTTTCCAAAAAAAAATAAATAATGTCACGTTTGCCTTGCGTGAATACAATAGACTATAAGAGCATGATCTTTTACAGTATTGTTTGTGTGAATGAATAGACTAATCGCATGAAATAAGTGCTTAACTTGTGAAGAGAATATGTGAGATGGTAGGGGATTTGTAACAAGTGCTAGCAAATAATCACCTTTTGCATGAAGAAAAGAGTATCACCATTGCATTCGTTCTCGCCTCCTGTCGCTTGCCTGAAAAAAAAAAAAGTAACATAATACATACACATATATATATATATATATATATATATATGGATGTTAACTTTAATTCAGATATTGGGGGAAATTAACATGGCTATAAGTTTTAATCTTTATTTATTTATTTAGTCATATTAAGGTAGTCTCAAATGGGCGCAATCGAACAAGTTATGAATGCCACAGGCTTCTGGAATGTATAGTAATGAAAATGGAAGTATATATCTTTCTGGTGTTTAAAAGGTAGCAGATTTGAGTTGCTCAAAGTGGAATGAAAATGCAGGTTAGGGTCATGTTTATGATTGTCGTGGAGTAGAGCTGAAACAAAACTACAACAATAATTGAAATCAGTGAGAATAGGAACAATAATTGAAATCAGTGAAAATCTCAATATATTAATATTAAAATAATAATTAATTTAATTAATAATTAAAAGCTTTTAGATATTTAAGGTTTTGACATTGTTTGCGATTTCTCCTCCCATTCTCCCAAGAATCTCAGCATCTTCAGCAAGAAATAGAGTCATGTGACTAGTGAGATTAAAGGGCGCTGTAAGCTAGCGCCCATGAGGCATATTAGGCTGACCACCGCCTTTTTTGCCCAGCTTGGAAATAGCCAACACAGCCTTCTCGAAGGCCTCAGTGTTCAAAGTAACCCCATCACCCACTGCCCCAAAATCAGTCAAATTGAAAGCCACATGTCTCAGTTTTGGCATGGCTCTCACTGGAACTCGCTTAAATATTGAAAACCCATCTACAATATTCCTCTACCACACAAAAACTGATGCAAATGCCCCGATCCAAAGCACAGTAAAGAGGGTTTTGTGCAAGGACAAGAAGGTCAATAACCAGCGCTTCAAGTCCAAAGGTGGAACCGCCTGAGTGGTAAGAAGAAGAAGAAGAAGAAGAGAGGGAGAGAGTTGATTGACGAAATGACCAATTTGTCCTCATATTTAATGGAAATATTGACATAATGTAACGTTAGGACCAATGGAGCAAATAATATAGAGTTGATGGACCATTTGAACGAATAATTTAATTGAGGGACCAAAATGTAAATCAGGTATAAATTTGAGGACCATTTGAGTAATTTACCCATAATGAGAATTATTACAAAAATAAAATAAATAAAATTTCAAGTATTTAAAGACCTATGGTATATGGTACAATTTGGAAGGCTCGAGATTATCAGTGACATTAAAATACTTCAATGTCCTAATCCACTTTTCTTGATTCTTCAACAAATGAACTGCAATTGTGTGTGGCCAAAGCTCATGTGTACATTTCGTGGGTGGCTCAGGAAAATTGTACATGGACCACTTAGCATTGAACCTGTTCTTAGCACGATGTCCATTTTTTATCCAGTCACCAAAAGTTTTATCTTCAGGCCCTTCTAAGTGGTTCTTGGGGATATCAGATTCTCTGATCCACTCCACTATGTCCCAAGAAATCAAGTACCCCATGCCAGACATGTAGTGACCAAACGGCTCCATGCTTGAACATGGAATAACATAACCATAGTACAAGTCTTCTCTAGGCAACGGCTTCAGAGAGTCCACCAAGTTCTGCAGCCTGAAGTAGGCATCATCGTCAGCTTTCATTACATAATGGTAAGGTGGATAAACCCCATTTGTATTGTTGAACATCTCGGGCAAGCTCGAAAAGTAGGTGTAAGTCTTACCCTTGTTCATGTTCTCTTCGCAGTCGAGAATAATAATATCATCATAACGCATTATTTCCAATGCTACAAGCACTTCTTGGTCTTCCTTGGTGAGGTTGCACATCACAAACTTCACGTCCACTTTTGCGCCCACCAGAGTCTGTGTGCCATAGATCAAACGAAGGAAATGGCGGCGTTGGTATTGGCCAGGAAGTGTTAGAATTCCGAAAAGTACTCGGATTTCATCGTTTGAGGAAGAATTAAGGGCCAGTGAAGTGATATTTGGTGATGAATGCAAAGTGTTTGATGAATTATACAACTGAGCAGAGGGCATGTTGATGTTAGCAAGAGCACAACGCCCAAATTCCAGAAGACTGTCGAATCGCAGTTCGGTTATAGAAGCCAAAGCATAGAGGAAACAAATGAAGAACAAACAAGAAGTTATAAAACGTAGCCCGTCTGGCCTTGGTATCTTCATGATGTTCTTGTATTCAAAAGAAAACCTAGAATTCCAAGCTTTGGTTTATGTATTCAAAGTTTCTTTCATTGTTTCTCCATATAGATGAAATCTGGTAGGTGATGGGAAAGAGACTAGAGTTAAAATAATTGTAAAGTTTTGTAAGTGAGCTATTGTCATTAGTATCCACCTAATTTGCAAGGGTTATAATACATGTCTTCGTTTGGTAAGCCAAAGAGCAATATTCTTCCTCTTAATATGAAATGTACCAAGCAATTATTGAAGTAATAGAGACACGCTGCCAACCTAATGGAGTTGTTGGAAGAAACGAAATAAACTGGCAAAGGTTTAATTTAATGAACAAAAATTCACATTGGTCATTAGATTTGTTAAAAAAAAGCTTGGATGATTTAGATTGGACTTGGACCAGGAGTATTAACTTGAATTTTCCAACAACTTGAAGGATCTTGATCCTCTGCATCTTCAACCTAATCAGAAATTTCAATTTCTCCAAGCTACTACATCTATTGGGCAATTGAGCCCCCTTCTAACCATTTGTTAGCTACACCTCGATCCCAAGGCGAAACAGCCTCTAGTACTACTTTGTTGCATCTTTAAGCTTTTTTCAGATTGCAAATATATTGTTCTCAACTTAAGACAATACATAGTTGAGAGTAAGGCCGCATGGCGTGATTGCGGCTCTATCTCAAAAGACCTCGATACAATTTTAGGAGAGCTCCCCACTTATTATACTTACTTATAAATAATTATTTCTCCACACGTGGGACGATTACGGTTGATCCAGGGCAGTCCACTCTCAACTTTCACGATTATTGCCTTCTTCTTTTTTTCCCTCTCTTGAGTTGCAAATCACCCAATTTTCATCTTAATATTGTTGCAACGAAAGGAGGGAGAGGGCATCACCCTCCCACTTTGGCTTATTTTTTGTTTGGATGATTTTCAGTTAGGGGTAAACTAGGAAATTAAAAATTACAAAAACTAAAATGGTCACAATGAGGGAAAAAAAAATAGCTTCAAAGAATCCAGTGGAGTCAACCATCCTTATTTTTGTAGATAATTTTCCCTTTTCAATCACTCCTAAAGACATAGAGTAGATGCGGGGAGAATTCATCAACACATCATGAACCTAATAACTTTGAAGGCAGTAGGCATTCATTTTCATGGGAGGGCCAATCACCCATTTGAACCTCGGATCAAATTACATAGTATAGAGGAAGAATGAATCATCAAAATCAGATTGTATCATCTAAATTCAGCAATAATTGAAAAGAATAAAAGTAAAAGAAAAAGTAAACTGTTCAGGTATATATTATCTAAGGTATATGGTACAATTTGGAAGGCTTGAGATTATCAGTGACATTGAAATACTTCAATGTTCTAATCCACTTCTCTTGATTCTTCAACAAATGAACTGCAATTGTGTCCGGCCAAAGCTCATGTGTACATCTTGTCGGAGGCTCAGGAAAGTTGTACATAGACCACTTAGCATTGAATCTGTTCTTAGCACGATGCCCGGCTCGAATCCAATCCCCGAAAATTTTATCCTCCGGCCCTTCCAAATGGTTCTTAGGGATATCAGACTCTCTGATCCATTCCACTATGTCCCAAGAAATCAAATACCCCATGCCAGACATGTAATGCACAAAAGGGTCCATACTTGGGCATGGGATAACATAACCGTAGTACAAGTCTTCTCTAGGCAACGGCTTCAAAGAGTCCACCAAGCTCTGCAGCCTAAAATAAGCATCGTCATCGGTTTTCATCACATAATGGTAAGGCGGATTAGGCCCCTCTGTGTCGTTGAACATCTCGGGCAAGCTCGAAAAGTAGGTGTAAGTCTTACCCTTGTTCATATTCTCTTGGCAATCCAGAATGATAATATCATCGTAACGCATTATTTCTAATGCAACAAGTACTTTCTGGTCTTCCTTTGTAAGGTTGCAGAACACAAACTTCACGTCCACTTTCGCTCCCACCGGAGTCTGCGTGCCGTAGATTAAACGCAGGAAGTGGCGGCGCTGGTATTGGTCAGGAAGCGTTAGAATGCTGAAAAGTATACGAATTTCATCATCGGAGGAAGAGCTCTGCGCAAGCAAAGTGTTTGATGTTGAAGCATTGACCTTAGAGGGCATGTTGATGTTGGCAAGAGCACATCGGCCAAATTTCAGAAGACTATCATACCGTACTTCGTTTATAGAAGCCAAGGCACACAAGAAACAGATGAAGACGAAAGAAGAAATTATGAAACGACCCCGTTCTACCCTCGTCGCCTTCATCGTGATTTAGTTGTTGGAGCCTTGAGAACAGAGCCTGCAGAGCAGAGGAGGGCAGAGAGCTGGAGTTTGCTAAAGCCAGTGAGGGTTGCAATGTATGGAGAGTTTCTCAATGCACAAGGGATGGATACTAATAAATTCAAAGCTTTCTTAGATGAAACGCAAGAGTTGTCATTCTCGTGCGAATGAGACTAAAACTCTGACTTTTCTGGCTGCAAGGAACGTGGTGGAGGAAAAGCCTAAAGTCAAGGACCTATTTTCCATTTTGGTCCTTGATATAGAAGCAACAAGGTGTGTTTCTTCTTGAGGCTGGAGGAGTTTTTAGTCTTCTTGGTAGGCTTGTATTTCCCCAATACAGGGCTAGCAGCCAGGAAATTTAGGGAAAAAAGGGTTGGGAGGCACTGAGGGGGATGGTGGAGTTTAGCCTAAAATTAGCTTCAGTCACTTTTTGCACATGACCAAAGTGCTTTGGTCAACTCTTCGTAATTTGGTATGTTTGAATGTACACGGTATTGGTCGGCTTCAATATGCTCACCATGCTTGAATTTGAAGCAACACAATCAAAGAATCAATCAACCCCAAAAATATGATTTCAAATGCTCCATCCAAAAGTGCTTTGTAGTGATCCAAGTGTGAAATGACTATTATATGTGGTGCTAGATTTGAAGAAAAACGAGTGTCACATAAATCAGGAAATTTAGAATGCCCCTTAAATTTGACTGAACATGTAACAGATTATGACAGCATGACCAACATTGCTAATGAAAGTGGAGTTGAAGGACTACAAGAGCCATTTTTAAAGTTCAAAGACCAAAATGCAATTCGGGCACAAATTGAGGAACTATTACTCCTAAGAACCCAACTAAATAGTACAACCATACTTTTAAGGTTAAACTATTGTAATTTTAAACCTGAGAATATGGGATTCTGCATAACACCATGGTTGGTTTTGGCATAAAATGCAGAAATTGTGAACCTCTCTCTATCTGGGTTAAAATCTCATGATATGTTCTCACATTAGCCAGTTAACACAAAAGAAAGAGAGTAAAACAAGGAAAACATTTCTAGCCATTTCCAGTTGGGCACATGAGAACACATTACTCAAAGAAACAAAACTGTTAGTCCTTCCTAAATTCACAGGTTGACAGGTAAAACATGCACCAGAGAAACAATATCAGCACAAAAGTTTTCTCAACAGCTCTTGTTTCATTCCCCCTGTATAAGATTCCAAAGTTCTCTCCTATAAAAAAGACAAACGGAAGGGAGGGAGGGAAAAAAAAAAAAAAAAAAAAAAAAAAAAACAACACTCAACCAAAAGCCATCATCCAGCTATCTGACTGATAACACATGATCTCTCAACAACGTGGAGCTGAAATTTAGCAGCAATCCATTGAATCTACCAATTTTGTACAACCTTCAGATAATTGGTTTATATATTACAACTGAAGTAAGCAATCATAAGCCACATCGACCGTGTAAAACACCTCCTTTCCCAGAATGAATAAAAAGTATCTTCTTACGGCTTAAATTTTGGCATAGGAGACAAAGCATAAATGAAGTCTTCATTTACGTCTCAGGCTGACCAACTCAATATCAAACACAAGAGTCCCCAAAGTTGAGCCTTCTCCATTAGCAAGACGAGTTGGATTGAAAATGGTTGTAAACAGTCTCTGCCTGTCAAAAAACTGAGGAAAGACAATAAACCCTGAGAGCTGAGTAACAAGGGCAGGAAAATGAGGGGTATGCATACAAAGATACATGTATCATGTATGGCAGATATGATGCATGATGTACTGCTGTAGTTGATGATGCCAAATTAAGCTATATAGATTTGGATCATTCATAACTTCCTAACAACCATATCCCTGTTACATATTCTCAGCATCCTTAATGAAGTTACTCAGCAAGGTAACTTTAGCTGAAAATATTTGCACCAAAAAAGGGGCAAACATCTCTCTCTCTCTCTCTCTCTCAGTTGATGGTAGGATTACTCTAAATTCAACTTTCAAAACGGATTAATAGCACAAGATAAAGAAATTTTGAGATTCTTATTACTTAAGACACAAGTGTGCCCATGCAGACCATAGAAGCAAACAAGTGAAATGTATTCTGACTAGAGTAAGTAGCTTCTCTTTTGTTTCAACTAAGATATATGCAAACAACTGTTTAAGAATAAATTTACCAAGGTAACAGACTAAGTGAAAGAATCTGGAAGAAACAGAGCAATTACATTAGGTGGTACAGGTTCCTGTGATGTGTTCTGATACCCTTGTGATGGCGGTATAACAACTCTACGAACACCACCCACTTTCATAGATTTCACAGCTGTTTCAATCCCTGAAATGACCTGCATATGCATTTGCAACATCAATATAAAGAGAGTCTCACAACTCGTGACAGTTCAAACAAAAGGATTAAAACATTTCTAAAGTTAAGAAAAGGTAAGTTTCCAAAAGGCTAAACAGATATAATGGTATTTACAGCACAAAATTATAGTTGTTAATATCTGGTTAAGCTTTTAAAGGAAATGAATATATTTCATTAGAAAAAGAGGATTTTGGAAAGTACTTAAAGACATGAAATGACCAGTTATTACACTCAAATTGACGAGTAGTCATACATGCCCTTATTGACAAGTACTTAGACAACTTTTAGGCAACCACAATCAGACAACTTTTAGGCTAAGGATCAGAACTTTCTCTCTGACTGAATGGACAATGCCCTGGACTATTTTAATTCATAATTGCTGTGAAGAGATTCGACAGTGTTTTAATAAAGTTGTAAATTTATTATTGAGGTTACATTTATCTGTGCAAGTCTACAGTAGAAATTGAAGCACAGAACAATATTTAATAGATGGAGAGCTGTAACTAACATAGAATTTGTCACACAAAAAAAGAAAAAAAAAAACTTCGTCCAAGCTTGGAGTCAGTTTCAGGTCATGAAGATTATACCATTTCCTTCTAGTTTTTAATTAAGGAATGAAATTTACTAATTATCTTGGACGCTATGAAGTATGAAAACATTTAAGCAAGCTTCTGGAATCAATCTCAAATCCATTAGATGGCATGCTGCCAATGACAAGCGATATAACCGTAGATGAGAATTTTAGGCAAAATAAGCTGCACTTTAAAAGCAGGTTCTATTTTTACATTACTCTTCAACTTCTTTTTATGGGGGGCGAAGGGGGTGGGGGACATTTAATACATTTCTAAGTAATGCTACATTCTCAACTAGTTACAGAAGTACAAAGAAAATTTGGGCTTCCTGATTTATGACATTTTCCAAAATTTGAGAGACCAACTTATTTAATCTCATATCAAATGTGAAATAACATGAAGGAACATAAACTGATGGAATCTGTATTGCATAACAACATTGTTTTGAATCAGCTAGCTAGGTTGTAGGTTAATGATATACAGCACAATATTTTCAAAGGTAGTACTAATAGTGAATATTGGTGTTAGTAAAACATAAATATGACATGACTAATATCTTTTAATGGTAAAGACTGGGAGACCATATTGACATGAGGACTTACTTTCCCAGACCCAATAACGAATACAAAAGGAATCGGTTCACCATTTTCATCTTTGTGATCATATGTCGAGTCAAAGCGCCATCCTTGTTTCGCTGCCAACCTTCCATAGTAATGAACAGCAACCTTCACAATCAAAGTATACATATTTAGATGGCTATAGATGCATTTCAATCACTGCAAGAGGCCTTCAGATAGCTAGGCATCAAATTGTCCCCCAAATTTTAATTCTCAATCCAAAACAAGAAATATTTCAAGGCACAAAGTGTGCACATTGTACTCTTTTATGCTATTTGTTCTGTCTTCTGTAATATGGAAGTTTAAATGCTGCAAAAGCCAAAAATATAGAGTTCCTTTTGTTCTAAACAGAACAGCATCCAACAACTTGGCCATACCAAAAATAAAAAATAAAAAATAAAAAATCAGCAAATTACAGCCTAACTGCTTGAAAACAGGTGAAATTACAGGCTAGCTCAAATGCAAAAGATTACATCAAACATTCTGTACAGCCACAACCATGTAAATTAACCAAACTTGTTTTGATTATACGGAAATCAAAAGGCAACATAGCCACATATCCATCAACCCCTTACCTCAGTTTTTACCAACCAACCAGTTCATAAATCATGCATATCGGAGAGAAAGATAACCTGGTCGCCGGCGGCGGGTACTTCACCGTCACCGAGGCGAAGCTCCAAAGCCTTGACGCCGCCGGAGTTTGGGAGTTCAGAGAATTCGGCTATGGCGGACTTTGAAGGAGGTGTCAGCGTCAAGATCAGCGTGAATGTGGTGGAGATTAAAGCAGCGGATAAAGCTCCCCTTCTTGTTATGGTTGATGATGATGGCGTTGGAGAGATGATCTTGGGATGAACTAAACGGACGGTTGGATGGTGGGGAACAATGGAGCATTGTAGTGCCGCGAAGCACTGGAGAATCATTTTTTCTGATCAGATTTGGCCAATTTGCGTACATTATCCCAGTGGTCCTAGGTAGGCATGCCGCATGTCCCAAGATGGTATGGTAAAAAAAAAATTGTTACTATGTGATATGACTTCAAGTGCAAGTGAATGAATGTCCTTTTATGCCCATTCAAATTAGGCTTAATCACTTCCTTTTCAAAAAAATTAGACGTAATCACTTTGTTGGCTCTCGAAATTATGATCAAGTCCCACTTTCCTCTCTGGAAATTAAAGTGACTGAGAATTCCCCTTGATCAAGGTTTATATTTGGTGAGTGAAACTGGACTTGAATTATTTCAATTAAAATGGACAAGAGTCCTGACCGTTGTTTAGTGCTCTCGGACTCCATTTATTAAAATGGATAATAATTCAACATATTATGTTTTACAAGTACCATTTAGAAGGGTGAGACTCATAATGGCTGACTTAGACTCAACTCCAATTCAATTCTAGCCACACAACCAAATGAATATGCCTTTTGTTAATGTTTGCGATATTTTTATAAGATAAGAATGTCATATGACATATGTTTATAAGTGACTGAGAATTCCCCTTGATCAAGGTTTATATTTGGTGAGTAAAACTAGACTTGGATTATTTCAATTAAAATTGACAAGAGTCCTGACCGTTGTTTAGTGCTTTCGGACTCCTTTTATTAAAATGGATAACAATTCAACATATTATGTTTTACAAGTTCCATTTAGAAGGGTGAGACTCATAAGGGCTGACTTAGACTCAACTCCAATTCAATTCTAGCCACACAACCAAACGAATATGCCTTTTGTTAATGTTTGCAATATTTTTATAAGAGAAGAATGTCATATGACATATGTTTACTATGAAAATGGGATATTTACACTAGTTCACTAATACTTCATTAAACAGACGGAAATAACTTTTTAGTATATCACATCCCAATGATTTGAAATTGAAATAAGAAACAAATTGGGCAACTACCCCCAGCCAAACAGAGCTTAATGCCCAGTAGAACAGCCAACCAGTTGAGAAACAAAACAGAGCAAATTTTTGAGTTTTTTTATTTAAACCTTATACGTCTCTTTGTTCACTCTATACTCTAAGTTTATCATAACTTCTAATTTAAATTTTCACAATTTATAAGAAAACCCCACTATTTTTCCAAACTACCTATAAATACACACCCAATAAGAAAGAAAAAAAAAACTTCATCAACCTCACACCCCACACTGGAATCCTAAGATACAAATCCATCTTGCAGTTTCATACCAGCATTTTGCAGGCAACTGCATCATTATTCTTTGGCACCCAATTTTCTTTTTTGTAGAACAAGTTCAATTATTTTTCAATGTAACATAGTGTGATAAATATTTTACAAGTAATAGCTTACAAGTGTAGTCGTTCTTCATCAAGAATTTTGTTTTGCTCTGGAAAACGGATCCGGCACATGAGGTAATAGGTTTCATAGATTGAAAGATGAGTAATCTAGCAATAGGGTGCAGATGAGGTTGTGTTTTTTTTAAAATTTAATATGAAGAGTGGTGAGGTGTGTGTATAGATGTACTAGGGTTAAGTATTAAGTTGGATGACCTTTTTTTTTTGTCTTTTTACACAATAATAAAACTTAAGAGCTTAATGATTTTAAGTATTGGGGTGAACAAAGAAAAGTGTGGAGTTTAAATAGAAAAACTCAAGTTTTTTTACCCAAAAAAAAATGTTTAGTTTATTACTTGTAGTCCTGGGCGACAACACTTCAAAAATATTAAAAAGAAAAAAAAATACAACAAATTAGAACACTAGATAAACGTACTACTGACTAAAAGTTCCTTATAATTCAATGGTTAGCAATGTGATCAACAAATGTGGATTTAAGTCCAAGTAATACAGGCTTCCAAATACAATTAAATATTGTTAGGGACTTATCATTAGAAATCTCACAAAAGTAAAACATATAGCCCCATTTATGAGCTTATATGTGAAAAGTCCATGAAGAAGCATATAGGAAGTGCTTTTCTCCAAAAATAATTATAATCTATCTAAAATCACTCACAAACCAACACTAAATTTACCACCATGCTTATAAAGTCACAGACGCACTGAAGCACTTGATTTTGGAATGGCAATATGTTTCTGGTCAAACGGCAAATTCCACAGAAAATAGAAAACTTCTAGAACAAGAGGAAGCTGGCATAAGCGCATTTACTCAAAGAACGTCTTAGTGCTTGTTAAAAATATATTAAACCTTGGACAAGTGGTGTAGGTTCAAGTCCATTTGTGATTTATATATAATTCTCTAACCAGTCTCGCTTTTTTAGGCTCCATTTTTAAGAAAAAGAAACTAGCACGACAAAATTAAGATTTTCACTTGGATTTTACTTCATTCTATAAAACTCAATGAAATAGTAATTATATATGCTATTTGTTATTATTAGTGGGGATGTTGATTCGATCGTGGAATATTTTTCAACTTTCGGAAGAATAAGTACCACTAAACTAAGAGTTAACTGTTAATTACACATACTCTTTAATTGTTATATTCTACATATGCTCAATTATTTGCTACGAAGAATGTAAATTATACATTCTCATTATGCCCACTTAACATACGGTAAAGACTGAACCAAATATATATGTTAGTCAATATACATATTAGGTGGAGCATTGGATCTGGCAAATGAATCTAATACCAGGTTAAAAATTTAGATCATGAAACCTAAAATTTATTGTGAATGGGTGAGAATCGGCGTCGCGCTGTTGCCTGAAAGTTAGAAAAAAGAAGAAGTCACACACGAAGAAGCCTATAATATTATATTTGTCATTCAATGCTTAATTAGAATTCGCAATGAGATCCTATATTCAAAACAGTACGAAGTGGGAATGTATCATGTTGTTGCCAAACAATCTAACACGATATCATGTTCTTAAAGAACGAAAAACTTGTTGAGTACGTTCATTATTACTGACTAGACTAGTGTATTGTGAGCTTGGTGGGATTGGGTGGGTGCATAGGCGTACAATCAATTGAACTTGAGACCTAATACTTTTGAGCAGAAACAGCATCGAAATTTCTCACTGTCCCCACTGCGCTATAATGGGTGACGTTAGACAACCTGAAGGCTATCTCCAATTACCTTATAAAGCTAAGAGTATGCTTAATTCATGTATTAACTTAATTTTGAGAGAAGGCTTAATTTCAGTCATGGAAACTCCCAATATTTCTAGCTCCTCCTTCCTCTGGTATTTCATTCGTTTCCTTGTACTTGTCTGCCTAATTCTCTGCTCTTTGGAGACATGCTTTACCTTGGAAGAGAGAGATGTAAAAAGCCACCTTGGTCTTGAATATAGTCATACAGTTCAAGTCAAGTCTCTGCTACCAGCAACCACTTGCAGCCCCTCCACCGAAGGTTGATCGCATAACTCTTACATCCACACTACTAACAAAAAGTTCAATAGGCATACATAATTTTGTTCATATATAGAGTTTGTATTGGAATTATTCATGAAGGAGCACACCAACAGTGTGCTTATATAAATTTCGACACAAATACCTGGCCATTCGTGTGACTTTCTCTCTATGTGTATGTTGTCGTTTCTTGAGTTGGTGTTGTATGTTTCTTTCCATTATATAGATTAAATTGTTATCCGTTCGTAAGAAGGTTTTTTTTCTTCTCATTAAAGTTTGGTACGTAACATATATTAATTCTGATTTTGGTATTTTGATTAGCTTAGACACAGTTTTTTGTATTAATACATAGGTAGGTACAAAGTACATAGGTGTATTTACATTTGTAGGTACACTAATATACCTATTTCAATTCAGGTCATGACAAGAAGGCATCAGTACTTAAAGTGGTACACAAGCATGGCCCTTGCTCCCACTTCTACCAATCACACAAAGAAAATGCTCCCACTCACACTGAAATCCTCGAGCAAGACCAAGCCCGAGTGAATTCAATCCACTCTCGGCGTAATCCCAAGAAAGCAATTGACCGCCGTGGCCAAAGACAGTGGGACGGCATCACTGTCCCGGCCTTGTCCGGGAGTACAGTGGGTGCGGGCAACTACATTGTGACGGTGGGCCTAGGCACACCTAAGAAACAACTTTCACTCACATTTGACACAGGAAGCCACCTCACTTGGACTCAATGTCGGCCCTGCGTTAGGCCTTGCTACAAACAAGTGGACCCCATCTTTGACCCTTCAGTCTCCAGTTCATATGCTAACGTGTCTTGCAAATCTATGGAGTGCTCTAAACTCAAATCTGGTACGGGCTATGCACCCAGTTGTGCAACATCCACATGCGTATACGCCGCAGCATACGGAGACGGCTCCATCTCCGTCGGATTCTTCGCCAAAGAAACCATTACTTTAACTTCGACGGATGTGTTCAACGGGTTCCTCTTTGGCTGCGGCGAAATCAACCAAGGCCTCTTTCGTGGCTCTGCGGGGTTGCTTGGCCTTGGTCGCGACAGTATTTCCTTTGTGGAACAAACTGCGGCCAAATACGGCCGCTTTTTCTCCTATTGTCTGCCCTCCACCTCAAGCTCCACCGGTTTCCTTAGCTTTGGCAAAGAGAAAGGCCGCCGAGCTTCCAAGGGAGTGAAGTACACGCCGCTCGCCACCCTCCCACAAAAGGAGTACTCATCGTTATATGGCATTAACCTGGTTGGTATCACTGTGGGCGGACGTAAGTTACCCATTTCAACTTCAGTTTTTAAAACTTCCGGGACAATAATCGACTCGGGTACGGTCATAACACGGCTGCCACCACAGGCGTACAGCGCTTTGCGGGATGTATTTCAGCAAGGGATGAAAAGCTACCCGAGAGCTCCGGCAATTTCAATATTGGATACATGCTATGACTTTAGTAGTTATGAGACAGTTAATATTCCGAAAATAGCATTTTCTTTTATGGGTGGATTGACGTTGGATTTGGATGGTACTGGCATAATATATCCGGTGACTGCTTCCCAAGCTTGTTTGGCTTTTAGTGCAAATAAGAA